GGCGTGACGGGTGCCCTGCTCTCTCCTGCAGCCCCCCAAGGAGTTCAAGGTGTGGAAGAACAACGCCGTGCCCCCGCCGGAGACCTACAGCCCGCCCGAGAAGAAGCCCCCGCCGCCCCCTGCCCTCGACATGGCCATAAAGTGGTCCAACATCTACGAGGACAACGGGGACGACGCGCCCCGGCAGGCCAGCAAAGCCAAGTTTCTGCCGGATGAGGAGCAGGAACCCCCGGAATCGGGTGAGGTCCTGGCGTAAGGCAGCTGTGCTTTGCACGGGTGCCTGTGTTTCAAATTCGTGCACGTAGGGAGGCGAAGTGGGTGGGTGGGTGGATTCTGTGAGTGGTCTGTGGCTGGAGCCCTCCCTGCCCAGACCTCAGAGGAGGTTCTGCTGGCCTCTTCTGCATCCTCTGCGTGAGGTGCTGGAGCGTGTCCAAAGAAGGGCGACGAGGCTGATGAAGGGTCTGGAGCAAAAGTCTCACGAGGAGCGGCTGAGGGAACCGGGGTTGTTTAGCCTGGAGAAGAGGAGGCTGAGGGGAGACCTTATTGCTCTACCACTACCTAGGGCTGTCAGGCCCTGGAGCAGGCTGCCCAGGGAAGTGGTGGAGCCCCTGTCCCTGGAGGTATTTAAAAGACGGGTAGCTGTGGTGCTTGAGGACATGGTTTAGTGGTGGACTTGGCAGTGCTAGGTTAGCAGTTGGACTTGATGATCTTAAAGGTCTTCTCCAACCTAAATGATTCTGTGATCCAGTGCTACTCAAGAGTAGAGTAGCAGTTGGCTGTAGGGATGGTTAGGGTTCAGTGTGGGTGTTCTGGTTTTCCTGGAATCAGCATAGGCTCTCCAGCAATCTCTCTGCTCCCCTTCCATTGTCATTAGCGGAAACAAGGAGTGATTAAAGAGCCTGTAGAACTGTAGTTATATGAAACTAACAGGTTCAGTCATGGTACTGCTAAAACAGAAAGTGGTATGAGAGCTTCTTCAAACACTGCTGTCTTGACCTTAGGTGTAGATGTAGGTCAGATTATTTTTATAATGTTTGCAGAACTTGGGGGCCAAGAGGGGAATTAAATAAAATGTCCATGTGACAGATTACTGAAGAAAATATTTACTGTCCTTTTCACTTCTAATCATGGTACAAGCTGTAATGGCAAGTTAGGAAGTAAAGAAATATTTGACATGAGGGAGGAATTTTTTTTTTTTTTAAACTTGCCGGAGAAAGAAAATAGCCAGTAAACAACCAAGAGAACAAAACCGGAAGAAGAAATTCTGGGGTTTCAGAACACACAATGTTTTGCTTTGCCAGGAAAGTTGTCAGCAAACCTTTTCCAAAGAAAGGGGTTTTTGCTGTCTTGCTCCTTTTTTTGTTCTGGGTGTTCCTTCCCCAGTGGCAGTTTTTCTGTGTCTTGCTCCATTTGTTCTGTATGCCTTTTTTTTTTTTCCCCCCCTTCACGTTTCTCTTAGTCAGCCTTCATCCAAAGACTAAGAAGATAAACTGTTAATTGACCTTGACATTACTTCCTGCTTCTAAAGTGTCGTTTTCTAGCTCTTTGTCTTATCTATTCAAATAATAAGTTTTTTGGAACAGGTACTGTACAGTAGCATAACAAGACCTCTTCTCAGTTATCCTCAATGGTCTGTGGTAGTAATAACAAGTAATCATTCCTATTCTGTCCACATATTCTCCATATTCCAAAAATGAGGATGTTGTCAGTTAATACTACAGTGTCTTTTTTCCAGGCACCTCAGATGTGGTTAAGTCAGTTGTTCTGAGATGAGGATGGTGTTTAAGACAAAAATACTGGCTTTGCTGACTTTGATTAACTCTGTCTTTTATTTAAAGATGGTGAAAAAGATGATGAACCCACTTCTGCTAAGAAACGTAAACTAGACTCTGGGGAGCAGACGAAGAAGAAGAAGTTATAAGCAGGGTGTACTGGATTTAGCCATAATGAGAATTTCAATGAACTTGGATTCCTCTGCTGGAATGGGAAGCAAATACATGTTTACCGCATTTCTCTCTCCTGTTGGGTAGGGAATTTTATTTCTGAGTATGCTTGCCTTTTGGAAAGCACAAATTTAAATGGACAGTGTCGTGATATAAACTTGTCTACTGAACAAAATTTAAACCTGTTTATTTAAAAGGGGGATTTAGAAGAGGGATCCATTGTGATGGATGCTTGTGCTCATGCAGGTTACAGGGCTTCATGGTATTTTGTTTATCAAGAAACCTGGTAACGTGAGCTTTTCTGACTTCCATTGTGTCAAAACCTTTTATAAAGGCGTATATACTAGAGATTCTTTAATACTGTCCTGTGATACGTTTGCATAATGTTGTTTTGAAATGTATGTAAAGGCTGCAAATAGGTCACTGGAATAAAACTACATTTGAAAACATACGCGGTATAAATATTGCATTGCATGCTTGGTGAGTAGGAGGGATGAATGCTGTACTGTATGCATTTCAGTGATGTATTTCTTAGGACACAAGAGATTCCTCAGGGTTTTGTTTGTAATAAATATACAACTGCAAACTGAAAAAAACATGGACCTAATAATGGAGTTTAATATTTGATAATTAGTTTTAATGTTATGTGGCCTGCATCAGTGAAACATGAGACTAACTGATGCAGGAAGAATTGAAGCATTTCACATATTCTTCCTAAAATTGAAAATAGAATCTAGATATTTACGTAGAAAAAATTATGACAAAGCTGTGATAAAGTCTTTACTGCCAAATTGTATTTATTTCAGTACAAACAGTTGGTAATCTTCTCGTAAGTGCTAGTCAGTATATGTTGCATTTGTGATATGCTGCTGCATGGGTTTTGGGGTCTGTATATGAAGAAGTACCAGCAAAACTGGGCTGGAGGGAGGGTTGCTTTAGGTTTATTTTCAAATAAAGCTGCTGTGCCTTAAGAAATCTGCAATGAGATTAGGCCTACTATTAGAAGTTTATGTAATTAAACTAGCAATGTAAATATTCATAATTTTTTTCCTTCTGTCTTGGACTAGCTTTAATTTGGCAGAACAGATTCTGTATGCATATGTGCTAATATGTTAATATGTTTTTAAAGTGATTTTAAAAAAAAATCTTTTGAACCTCAATATATAGAAAAATGTATTCATTTTTAGTGAGTATATGAAGTTAGCAACAGGCTATGCAGTCCTAGCCTTGGCAGTGTGATAATGCTTTCTCGGGATCCTTCTCTACCTGCAGACTCCGCAACCGCTCCTTGCCAATTTCACAGGCTGTTGGGCCAAATCCGTGATATATTCCACCCCTTCTGTGCTGCCAGTCTGGAAACTTATTCCAAAAAAGGCACTTGTACACAGCTGAGGGTTCCCCATGCCCCAGATCTCCTAGCACAAACCCAAATATTTGACGCTGTCATAGCAAGCTCCAAGGTGGGGGACGGTGTCGTAGGCAAAGCTGATGTAGTGCCAGATCTGTGTACAGTTTCTCAAAATACTCCTTCGTCTCAGATTATGATGGCTGGGCTGGAGCAGAGCAGAGCTGGCCTCCGGGTTGCAAGGGGAAACCTCCCACGCCCTTAATGATGACCCCGCTGAGTTCCAGCTGGGATGAAGACCCCTTCGCGTTTATCCCTTGCTGAAATGGAGCCTTCGGTAGGTGGACAGCCAGTGGAGTGTGACAGTCTAGGAGCTGTGGATATCTGCACTTTGCTGAGTGGAGAGACTATAAATGCCCGTACTTTGCTTTTCTAGAATGCTAATGTAAATTCTCCTTCATTCTAATAATCGCACATGAAACTTCCACTAAAAATTGTCATCTAATGCAGGCTGGTTCTCTTACAGGAATAGCTGTCTCCATGCAGGTCATGCAGCCTTACATCATCCACTTCAGGATGTGGATTGTCACAAGCTACTTATGTAGCTGGTCTCTAGGTCCTGTTCGTCTGGGATCAAAGTTTCTGTGAGCTTCGCCTACAAAGAAATGAAGGAAGTTTTTCTTGAAGTGCTGAATGTGAAGTCTCTGAATGAAAAGGCTCACTCTAATCTGTTTTTTTTCCCTCTATCTGCTGTCCTAATATTGCTAGGTTGAAGGTGCTAATCTTCGGCAAATGTGGTAGGAAAAAAGACTGCTTATGCTCCTTTTTTAAAACAGGAATGTGTTTATACTATAGCTGGCATAGAGACCTGAGGGTAGGGAATAGCAGCAAGCTCCTGTTCAGATATGAAAATCAGATGTTTGGTGAGTTTCCTGAAGGTTTAGTTTGTGTCCAGGCAGCGAGTTGCAGATTACGGTATGTCTAGCAAGACACTTCTTGAGAAATCTGCCTCTGCTGTCCTGTATGTACAGTATTTATTCCAGGGTTATGTGGGATGAAGGGTACCATTTCTTGAAATCTGAGGGATTTGACGTGATGTCCACGGTTCAATGGACTGCCTAATTCTCAAGTCTTGCAATAGTTCTGTTTGCTACTGAAGGGCTTCTCGAAGAGCATTACAGCTGGAGGTTAATGTCACCAGCTCTGGAAACAGGATGCATTCCCACGACTGCCATGACCAAGGAGGCTTTTGTCCTTGTAGTGATTGCTCTGCTATTCTGCGGGGCAGCTCAGGAAGTTACCATGCTAATCACTCCTTTTGTTTTCAGATAATATGATATACGTGGTATCCAGTTGTCTTGAAGTTAACACCATCTGATACTCAGTTTCCAAGGAGAAAACCAGCGTGGCTGATGTGGGAGAAGAATGATTAATTGTGTTCTTTACAGGTTGAGGAAATCTTCATTGTAAGCAGTGCCCATGGCAGCTTCCCTATTCAAGAGAAATGGCAAAAGCAACTATGCTTTTTCTTTAATAAGACATCTGAAACAAGGCTGTGAGAAAGCCTGTCTGAAGCTGAATTATCTGGGTGGGCTGGTTCTGCTGCTGGAAGTTTTTTGGTAGAGATGCTTCAGTGCATCATCTTCAGGAGAAGATGATGAGAGAAGTGCTAGTGCTGCAGCTTCTGAAGCAAGTCAGATTTCTTGACATACAGGGCACACAAAAAAGCCCAGAGCAGGGAGGGGACTGACCTTTCTGAGTTCAGAGACAACAGACAGCGTGTGCATTTTATTGTAAGTAAATGAGAGCGCATGAAAGAAATGTTATGCTTGTATCATCGGTGACTTGTAATGCAAACAACTACAGAACTCCCTGAGGTGGAAAAAAAAAAATGCTGGAGTCCTAACTGTGGTGAGAAAATGGCTGGAAAGGCACAAAATGCTTCCAGTGATTGGCTTTGGTAGTGTGGTACTTACTAAGCAGTACTTGCTTCTGCGGGGAAAAAACGACAGGTATATATAGCTGGTACAAAGAGGCTGTTTGGAAATGGCTGCATTGAGCTAGATAGAATGTAGCTACTAGCCAGGAGAGGAAGAAAAGGAGAGAAATCCCGCTGATTTTGCCAAGGATCTGTAAGGTCTTATTCAGATACCATAGAAAGCTTCTAAGAAAAAAGGGCAATAGGCTACATTATAAATGCTCATTTGGAGTTGGGCTTCTAGGTCAAGATTACTGATAACGCATCCATGGTATTCATAGCTACGAAGCTGTAAAATTACCAGCTGTCATTCAAGTTCCTCAATAAGTCACTAGACAGAGCACTGCCGAGAAAGATGCGGTCACGATAAGCCTTACAATTATAGGAGTGCATCCAACAGTCCTCCAAAAGCGGATTCAAGTCTTCTCCATCCCCTTTTTGCATGATCAGAAGTGGCACAGATTTACAAAACAAGAAAAAATTGATAATGATGCAGTGCTTAAAGGAAGCACATCAGGTAGGTGTGAAGAAATGAGCAATAAGAAGATTTTCTCATTTGTTTTGAAAGTAGAAGAGGGAAAGACTCTGAAGAAGCTGAAGGACAAAGCTTGATGGAACAAAAAACAGACTTGTAGGTTTTCTTCAGGTTTGGGCAGCTAATAATGAAAAATTGGCTACTCCGTGCATCAGGATCGGTGAAATGCGTGAGTGAACACTTACTAAACTTAAACTGATAACTCGGATGTTAAAAAAATCTCTAACTAGAGAACAGTTTATCCTGGCTTGTCTTTCAAGAGGAGACAGTGACAGCGAACATACGCCCCCGCTGACAAACGGGGAAGATTGGCTCTGAAATGAGTCCTCTATTGACTCATCATTGCGCTGTTTTTATGATGAATCAAATGTGATGATAATCATTATGTGTAACAGGGGGGAAAAGGCAGTAAAAATGCATACAAGTTTGCTCTGAGAAAATTCTCTTAAAAATTTGTCAAGATTAGAAAAACAGTGGCGGGAATGCAATTAATTTGCAACGAACACATTGTGTTGCCTCCAGATGCTGGCACAATAGCAGCTACATTACTTGGATTTCCAAGAAAGTCAAGATGGTCTGGAAAAGAAGAATTCACATCAGTACAGAAGTACAGCTGTTGAGGATAATGGCTTTCATGGCAGGCAGCGCTTCCTCCCAGAAATGCTAATGGAGAGGTTGTTGCAAGGCATCCCTCCGGTTGTCTGCTATTCCGATGCGACAGCTTGATGCATACTAACGCTATTGAAGAACTGATTCATTTACAAATGGTCTGTGATAAGCTTAAGGCTGCCAATCTGAAATTGAATCCAGGGACATGCAGTGTGTTCCACAAAGGGTAATTTATTGTGAACATGTAATCAGCGGAGGAGGAGGAGGATTTTTTACCAACGGAGAGAAACAGAAACTGTGGGGTGCTGGCTGGCTCTTTTCTTTCTCTGGTGACAGGAAGCTCATTTGCCAGCTTGCTAATCTTGCAAAATCATGGCAGAATTTGGATGAAAAGATGTAATGCTTTCAGTCACCAGCAGCATACAATTTGGGTTTTCTTTTCAGGCTTGAAAGGTTCTTGTGCCTGTTTCTGTCTTAGATTGCTGATTTTTTCCAAACCCCTTTGACTACT